ATATTAACACCGCAGAAAAAAGATAAGACAGAGCATTATGGTCATGCAGTGAGGTGAACACTACAGAGACCCCGCCTGGAAGCAAAGTATGTGAGTCTCTCAAACAGTGGTGAGCAAAAAGCTAATTGGCAGAAGATATATAAAGGTGGTAATACCACTTATGTAAAGACTTAAAACATGCAAAACAGCAATACTTTTTTTTTTTTTTTTTTTGAGATGACATATATGTGTAGTAAAGAAAAAATGCATGGAAATGCCAAATTCTTGTCAGACTAGTGGTTACCTGAGAGGAAAAGGTGATTCTTTGAATCAGCTGTTAGCTCTTGGAAAATTGAGTGCTGGGGAGGGGTGCAGTGGGGTGTGTGCATGGCTCTTAGCTGGATTTGCAAGTACTTTATTTCTTGGGGGGCAGAGGTGGTCATAGATGTTGTCATATTATTCTTTGGTGTCTGAAAAATCACTGAATAAATGATCTCAAAGAGAGGACAGAGGTCAGAAGAGGAAAAAGAATCTTCTTTTTGTTTGGAGATAGACAGGAGTGCAATGGCGCAATCACAGCTCACTGTAGCGTCAGACCTCCGTGGCTTGAGTGATCCCTACCTCAGTCTCCTGAGTCTATAGCTGGGACTACAGGCACGCACCACCATGCCGGGCTAATTTTGGTAGAGACTGGTTTCACCATGTTTTTCTAGGTGGTCTCAACTCCTGGCTCAAGAGATCCGCCCCCTTCAGCCTCCGTCGCCGAGGTTGGATTACAGGTGTGAGCCACTTGCACCTGGGCCAGAAAGAAATCTTGAACGTTCTTTTCTAACCTGTAATCAAAGGTTAGAAACAGGTCTTGGCCAGGCGCGGTGGCTCACGCCCTATATCTCAGTACTTTGAAGGCCAAGCTGGCAGGATCCACAAGGTCAAGAGATGAAACCATCCTGGCCAACATGGTGAAACCCCGTCTCTACTAAAAATACAAAAATTAAAACTGGGTGTGTGGTGCACGCCTGTAGTCCCAGCTACTCGAGACCCCCCCGGCCTGAGCATGGGATAATCGTTTTTGAACCTGGTGGGATCTGGCTATGGAATATGTTTTAGATCGCGTATGACACCCACTACTGCACTCAGTGCAACCTCCACCTCCTGGGTTCAAGTGATTCTCCTGCCTCAGCCTCCCAAGTAGCTGGAATTACAGGCACATGCCACCACGCCTGGCTGATTTTTGTATTTTTAGTAGAGACGGGGTTTCACCATGTTGGTCAGGCTGGTCTCAAACTCCTGACCTCATGATCCACCTGTCTCGGCCTCCCAAAGTGCTGGAATTACAGGTGTGAGCCACCACGCCCAGCCCATATGTGACTCTTGACCGACCTATTCCTTAATGTACTTCTTGTTTGTGGTGATGTTTATGTGATGGTTTTCCATTCCTAGAGGGCAGAGCCCTGGGGGTTTTGTTCTGGCAGCCCTCAGGTTGCAGGGATCACACTTTGAAGGCTCAGGCCACAGATCGACAGTGTACTACTGAACTGAATCCTTAACTTGCTCACTCAAGTCCTGCACGCAGAGCCTGGCCTGTGTGGCGTCTGGCACCACACCCTCTCCCTCTCTCTAGTCTCTGGTAACCCCAGCCAGGAACCTTGACTCTAGTGGTTGCCAAAGGACCAAGCAAAGGGGAGGATCAAGTCAGAGGGAATGTATTGGTTATATAATTGCTGTTTGGAAGTATACTGACAGGTTGGAATTTTTGGAATGAGTTTTACACAGTTTAGTATGGTTCAGTATTTTTCCAGAAGCATAGGTAGCCTGGGCCAAGTGGGAGGTTTCCCCTAGTCTGTTAGGATTCACCCCCATTCTTGTTTGCATGAGAACATCATTTTCTTCCGGAAAGGAAACGGGGGCTGTGACAGGCTCCCTGTGGTGAAGCCGACTAAAAGGTAAAGCAAAAGATTTTTACCATGGAAACACCTTAGCCATGCCCAGGGGCCTTGGGGGTGGACTTGGTGCTACTTTTATAGCAGGCAGTAGAGGAAGTGAGCTGCCAGCACTGGGCTGTGGGGCAAGCAGAGTACCCGTTGATCAATCCAGTGTTTACTTTGTTCTAGGCTGTTTTATCATGACCGTTCAACTTGGAGAAACCAATGTAGTTCAGTAAGGCATATGATTGACTACATAATTGATTAGTATTCGTTAAGAAAGTTACCTCCTGTTATGACATGTTTTCCTGTGAGGAAACCATGTTTAACTTACATCCTTTTTTTTTTTTTTTTTGAGACAGTCTTGCTCTGACGCCCAGGCTGGAGTGCGATGGTGTGATCTCGGCTCACTGCAACCTCCACCTAACCACCTACTGGGTTCAAGCAGTTCGCCTGCCTCAGCCTCCCAAGTAGCTGGGACAACAGGTGTGTGCCACCTTGCCTGGCTAATTTTTTTTTGTATTTTTAGTAGAGACGGGATTTCACTACGTTGGCCAGGCTGGTCTGGAACTCCTGATCTCGTGATCCGCCTGCCTCGGCCTCCCAAAGTGTTGGGATTACAGGCGTGAGCCACCGTGCCTGGCCTAACTTACATCCTTTTGCTCTTAGAACAAAACCTGCCTGAGCTTGGGGTATCCAGTCCAGCACCCTGCTCTTGTGGACATAATATAAATAACATTTGGTGATGATGCTGCTAGCAAATAATTCCGAATCCCATGTTTCTTCATTTTCTCTGTATTCATTTATTTAGAGTCAAGGTTTTGCCTCTTGCCTAGACTGGAGTACAGTGACGTGATCATAGCTCATTTTAACCTCAAACTCCTGGGCTCAAAGCAATCCTCCTGCTTCATCCTCCCAAGGAGCTAGGTAGGCATGTGCCACCCACCACATCTGGCTGAATTTTAAAAATTTTTTGTCAGTCAGGTGCAGTGGTTCATGCCTATAATCCCAGCACATGGGAAGCTGAGGAAGGAGGATTGCTTGATGCCAGGAGTTTGAGACCAGCCTGGGCAACATAGTGAGACCCCATCTCTTAAAAAATTTGTGGAGTCAGTGTCTCGCTCTGTTGCCCAGCTCAAACTCCTGGCCTCAAGCAGTCCTCCCACCTCAGCCTCCCAAAGTGCTGAGATTTTAGATGTGAGCCACCACACCTGGCCCTGTTTTCTCTTTATGATGTACTGCCTCACCTCTCGGTGACTCTGCCTACTGTAATGTCCCTTTCTGCCATGTTGCCACTTACCACTGTCCCTATTTCTCCTTCAGCTGGATAGCTTTAACTTAAATGAATTTTATTTTCCATCATCTAGGTTAAGGGTGGCAAATAGGTTTCAACTCTTGGGCTATTACTGATTAATTAATAATGGCTGCCTGAGTTCTGGGTTGGTAACATTCAGAGGCAAATCTATCTGAGCAGGGAAGAATACTGATTGATTAGCAATGTCTGTGATGGGCACAGGGTTGGGACTTGGGGCACTCATGTCTAAAATACTCATAAAAATGTTAAAAATCAAGAAACCTCTTAACACATCAGATTATGAATGGTGGTTATCTCTAGATGGTTAGGTTACAGGGGATTTTAGTGTTCTTTTGATAATGTTCTATGTTTTCTACCTTTTTGATAGTGAACATGTATTATTTTAATGTGCAGGAAAAAACAGCATTATTTTGAAAAGGAAAGTCTTACCGGAATGAAACCAATGATTTGAATATGCTATTTGTGCTAGATTCTGTAGTTGCAATATGCCTAGCAGTGGGGTAGGTGTCACTGCCTTTTCCTTTCCTCCACTCTGAGAAATCCTTTGACCCTGGGCCATCATTCTTGCTGTGAGATAGAATGTGTGACTGGCTGATTCATGTATCATCTTCTAATCGGGCAGGTCGAGGTGGTGCATCTATCTATGGCAAACAGTTTGAAGATGAACTTCATCCTGACTTGAAATTCACGGGTAAGTGTATAATTTGGCTGGACTGGTTAGGAACGGGGATTTTAAAAGCTCACTCTTTTGGCCATGATTCAAGGTGAATGCCTGACACCGTGGCATGGTGCCAGATAACTGCCCAGTCATGGCGCCATGAAGTGCCCTGGTGGATTAGAGAAAGCGGCGCCTCTCACAAAGTTCTGAGCAATTCTGAGTGCTGGTCGGGGTGTTCTAGACTCTAACTATTTGTTAAAGGTCATAGGATATCAAAAGTGTCCTCAAAGAAACAGGAAACCTTGCTGGGTTTTTGAGGGCAGTCAGGAACATGGTCCACAGTTAGTGAGGAGCATCAGGGGTCAAGGCTGGGGAACAGGTGAGGACAAGGAAGATGAAGTCGTCAGAGTAGTGTAGTGATGGCCTTTGTACAGGGCAGAAAGCCTGCCCTGAGTGGTTGTCCGGGTCTGGACAGAGGCCAGAACAAAGTCCTGGCTTCTTTTTCATCCCTAGGCGGGCAGCAGCTCTGCACTGGACCTGTGGGGTTATTTATACTCTTTCCTTTCTTCCCTTTTCCCACCAGGGGCTGGAATTCTCGCAATGGCCAATGCGGGGCCAGACACCAATGGCAGCCAGTTCTTTGTGACCCTCGCCCCCACCCAGTGGCTCGACGGCAAACACACCATTTTTGGCCGAGTGTGCCAGGGCATAGGAATGGTGAATCGCGTGGGAATGGTAGAAACAAACTCCCAGGACCGCCCTGTGGATGATGTGAAGATCATTAAGGCATACCCTTCTGGGTAGACTTGCTACCCTCTTGAGCAGCTCTTCTGAGATGGCCCCAGTGGACCAGCTTCCAGATGACATAGAATGACATGTAATGCTAAATTTCATTTTGGCTTTGCAAATCATGAAGCTTAGGAGGCCTGAGGTATTGGGAGAATTAGAGATGGAAGTACATTTTAATAGGATGCTTCTTTTCTCTTCCCCCAGTGCCTAGGTTGCCAGAGCATTTGCACAAATGCCCCTGTTTATCGATAGGTGACTACTTACTACACGTGACTCGTAATGCTGCGTCTTGTGCATGTCTGCTCTGATATACTTCGAACAATGTAGCAGACACTGTCTTTTCTCAGTGGTTTTGCCTAACCAAACTTCTTCCTAAGGAGATTTGTATTCTGGCCTACACTGCAGTCCTTGATTGTTGACAGTCACAGAATTCCAAACCAAGTAGTGTCTATCAGCCCTTTTAACTCTGTGCACACCCTATTTACCCTATTTCAGTCTTACATTTGTTCTTCTAGGGAATGTATCCATCTCTATATATATTTTCCCTCTCAAAACCAGAACATCAACACTGCTGTTTCTGACACTTCAGACATCCCACGCAAAGCCACATTGAATTTTTGCCAAATGAAAAATGCATCCAACAATCAAGTTTCTAAGAAGGTGTCAAGTGGGGAATAATAATGTATAATAATCGAGAAATTAATTTACTAAAAGGAAGCAGAAACATTGACCATCTTTTTCCCAGAGAAGAGGAGAAATCTGTAGTGAGCAAAGGACAGACCATGAATCCTCCTTAAGAAGTAGTCCTCTCAGAAAGGAGAAGTGCCACTCAAGTTCTTTTAACCCAAGACTTTAGAGAAATTAGGTCTGAGATTTTTATATGTTCAGTTGTTTATGTATAAAAATAACTTTCTGGATTTTGTGGGGAGGAGTAGGAGAGGAAGGAAGTTAATACCTATGTAATACATAGAAACTTCCAAAATAAAATGCCATTGATGGTTGAAATTGCTGCTGTGGTCTGATTCTAAATATTGTATGAGGTTCCAATAGTCATTTTAATCCCAGTCATTTTAAGTAGTATTGCAGAGATCGTATGTTCAAGATTTCACATCATTTTAGGCTTGTGGATCTCCAGTAGACTTAAGAGCAACTGTAACTTAGGGCAGAACCAGAGAAAGAAGTGACAGAAATTGACATTTCTGAATAAGGGGTGTATTAGTCCGTCTTCACATTGCTATAAAGACACTACCTGAGAATGGGTCATTTATAAACGAGAGGTTTAATTGACTCACAGTTCCACATGGCTAGGGAGACCTCAGGAAACTTACAATAATGGTGGAAGGCAAAGGAGAAGCAAGCACCTTCTTTACAAGGTGGCAGGAGAGAGAGTGAGCACAGGGGAAACCACCATATTTAAACCATCAGATCTCGTGAGATCTCCCTCACTATTATGAGAACAGCATGCAGGGGGAAAATGCCCCATGATCCAGTCACCTCCCACCAGATCCCTCCCTCAACACAGAGGATTACAATTCGAGATGAGATTTGGGTGGCGATACAGAGCCAAACCATGTCGGGGGGATTGCCTGTAAGTGAACCGGGTGGATGTGCTAAGAGACCTGCACCATCCCTGGAATTTGCAGAGGGCCCACCTGTACATTGTTGTGGGACCAAGGGCAGTATGTGTTGTGGTGTTTGCTTCCTTAAGCTGGTAGCTCCTTGAAGAGGGGATTATAACTTTAATGTTTCTTACTACTCTATCAATTTTGAAAATGGTGATTTACTTTATGGAATGGCCAAACAAGGTTCTGTTCCCCAAGCCTTCCCTACCTTCAACCTCTTTCTCTACCTTTCTCTTTTCTCTCAGTAGCAAAAAAGCAAAACCCAACAACAAACTATATAAATGACTTTGTAACTTCCCAGAGATGATTTTTGTATGCAAAGTAATGTTCTACACTCTGGAAAAAATAGAAATATATTTCTTTCAGCCTGAACTGGGTGGACATAATTGGATCTGCCTCTGAGAGCAAGGAATAGCACCTGTTCACTAACCTCCCAGATTCGTAATCCTGAAAATCTCCACTTTCATCCAGGGCACAGGGGTGGTGGAAACATATCATGGCTACTCTGAAGCAAAGAAGGTTCTGCATGCCTTGGGAGGAGAGCCACATGGGCACAGTTCCTTGTTTTTGGAAAGGGACACCAAATACATGTCAAGGCAGTCATGTGGGCCTGTGCCAGTTTTCATAGAGGATATGACCTCAAAGAGTGAAGCTTGAATTGCTTCACAATTTGTGGTTCTGCCAATTAGCCAGAGTTGTAGAAGTTCCTGTTTCCTTATAAGGGAAGCTTGTCTAAAAGGAATCCTGCTTAATTCTTTGGTCATATGAGTGTTTACATCCTGTCAGGATTAGTACCATTGAGACAGGTCTCATAAAAGTGGGGTGTACTAGGGATAGCTCATTTTTGTTATATCTCGTCAGAGTAAGGATGGCTTATCAGGAGAAAGCAAGGATAAGTTTAAAACTTGGATAGAGATTATCGAAGATAGGTATGGAGGACCACCGAGGGCTCATCAAGGCACAGGAGAGATACAGCTCCCTGCTGCTTCTCATGTGGGAAGAGAAAGAGATTCTAGACATTTGGAGAAGGCGTAAAGTTGGAAGTAGATAAACCAGTGGAAAAGGCTTTCAAACAGGTGCCCCTGGGATGATGGATAAGAGAAGCTTGGCACTCAGACCATAAAGAATGTGGTCCAAGGGCCCTAGCCCAGGGCTTCTCACACTTGACTACATGCAGGAATCACTGAGGGAGTCTGTTAGGAAGCAGCTTCTGACTCAGCACTCAGCCAGAGTCTGCAGTTCTCACCAGCTCCCAGGAGATGGTGACTGCCGGTCCAGACAACACCCTTTGAGTAGTGAGGTCCTAGAGGTCACATTTGTCCAACATGAAACTGGGGAGGGGGATTTTCCTAAGAGCAAGGGCAGTCAGGACCATGAGCCAATCTTCTGCCTCTTGGAGCAGAGCTCTCCACCTCATCCTGGTGATCTTGGAAGAGTGAAGAGGTTCAAGGCACAGGATGAGCTTCAGCTGCTGGCTTTCGCTACTAGGATTGAGCTTTATGAAAGTGTTCTGTTCCCACGACAGTACAACATGGACTTCAGACCCTGGTATGTGGCACTGAGATACCCTGTGTGGACACCAGGGTGGGTAAGATTGTGTGGTCAGTAGACATCACAGAAAATGCAGGGAAAAGAGCATCAACAATGATGACATAGAGGGAAAGAGCTCTGGAACTTGACTGTCGGGGTTCAGATCCCAGCTCCACCACTTACCAGCAGCATGAACTTAAGTTTCTTAATTTCTCTGTATTTTAGTTTCTTCCACTATAAAATGAGAATAATGGGCCAAACCTCAAGGGCTATTGTGAAGATTAAATGAGCTAGAACAGGTATTTAGAACAGGAACTGGCATTTAGAAAACACCCCCAAAATGCTGGTTGTTATTACCAGTGGCCCTTGAAGCCACCACACACCTCTCCTGCCTCTTCATCTCGACATGTCCACAGCCTGACCTGTCTCAGCCTCTCACCTCACAGTCTCTCCCTCCCACTGGGCTAACCTCTGAGAACAAGGACCCTGTCTTACTCCCGTCTGTGAGTCTTCCCAACACCTTGTGTAGTGCTTTGAGGTTATTGCTGAATGCATCAATTAAATGTTCTCCATCAGAAAAAGATTGAGATCCTCTTATAGAAATCACTGTACCCCAACTCTCCAAACCCAGGCTTCAGCTGGTATGGCAGCCAAGCCTTTCCACTGAGCTCTCTGGAAGTCCTCAGCCTGATGTATTTTTGGATTGTGTCTCCAGAATATGTCAAAATAGCGTTCCCCACACAAACACGATTGCTACCCCCAGATCCTCGAGCCAGTCAGAGCCGTCACTGGGGCCCCTTTTGGCACCACATTCTTGTAACATGTGGAGGAGGGAACATTGAAAAGCACGGTAAAGCGGTGGAGTTTACTGCCTACAAAGAAGCACTTTGTGGTCTCAGAGTCCTGTCACCTAAAGAGTGAGCTACTACTTTTTAGGTAAATGCCAAGATAGGGGAATCTTCCAGCAACACTCTTACAGATGAGAGAGAAGCAAAGTGGGAAGAAAACATGTTAGGGTCTTACCCTAAGGTTGGCTTGGCCTGATTTGGGAATTGGGTTCCCGATTGTCCTTCCAAACAGATAACTCAAGATACTTAATTGCATCTGAAACCACAACCTTGCCAGTTGTGGGCAAGGTTTATGGACCAAGGGCTGTGAGGCCTTTTTGTGACCTTGGATGAATCACTTTACCTCTGGAACTTGGAGTTCTCATTCATTAAGGGAAGATTTGAACTAGCCCCCAGTTTGGGAATCTAGGTCATTCTGAGAAGATTCCTCCAGCTGCCAAGTTTCCATTTAGCATGCTATTTTGGAAATTTGCCACTAGAGGCCACTGTGAATATAGTTTAGCCTTGCAGCTTTTTCTAAAGGCAGAAGCCTGCGGAAGCCTTTCGTGAGTTGCTAAGACATGCCTGCTATTTCTTGGTTGTGGAAAGCCAGCAACTGATCAGATTGTGAGAGGGTAGAGTTGAGATGTCCGCCTGGCACAGAATGAGCCTGTAAACGTGCTCCGTTGGCACAGGCCGGCCAACCTTCTTTATTGTCTACGGGACTGGATGGAGGAGCCCTCTGTGCATGGAAAGGTTGGCTGAGTCCTGTGACTGGGTGCTGGTTCTGTAGCGTACCTTCTGAAGGGCTAGTTCCCTCTTGGCTGCTTAATATTCTGCTTTACGGTTGAATTCATTCAGTCAACAAGTAATTTTGGAGCTCCTCTTGTACATCCACCACCAGTAAATATTTTCATAGAATCAGAGAAAGTCAACGAAAAGGAACCTTAGAGGAAAGCAAAATGTTATTGTCCCTTCTGTGTTTCATGGTCTGTGGATGCTCCTTGTACGTATTTTTCTCTCAATCCCCCAAACCAGCCTCCCGAAGTTGATATCATTATGCCCAATTCCTGGATGAGCAAACTGAAGACCAAAGGCAAGTAGCACAAAGCCTTGTACAGACTGAATGGATGGAATAAAGGGCCAGACCTTGCAAGGCTAATAAAAGGCAGGGTTGGGGCTTGAATATGGGGAATTGGGATCCCAAGTTCTGCTCTTTTCCTATGATCTCCACCTTTGACATACAGAGGAGGAAGATGAGGTGCAGGAAAAGAATAATTTGGTGGCAGGACAGAGGTTAAAACCTGAATCTCCTGCCTTACAGGCTGGGGGTGTTCAACTGACTTCTCCATCCTAGAGTGTCCCCAGTCCAAGCTGGCTGGCTGGCCGGCCCTAGCCTTAGCTGTCTCCACGCTCCTTCCAAGCAGAGCCTGAACCAGGCCTGTGGAGACGCAGCAGGAGGGAGGGCACACAAATGACCCTCATCAGGATGTTTATTGGACCATAACTGTATTATCCTCACCACTCAGCTAATCTCATAGAAATCACTTTCCTCTCCGTGAGGATCTGGCCACAACTCCATTAAGAGCTGCTGCCCTGCATACCTGTGAGGAAGCTCTTGTACAGCAGAAATAGTGGAGAGGAGGGAGAAGTCATATTTCTACTTCCTCATTACACTGACGGGAGCAAGTGGCAATTTCACATTCACTGTATAAGAAAGGCCCTCAAAGGAAAGGGAGTTCGAAGTTGATGATTTTGGGGGCAACATTCGGCTCTGAAGGAAATGTTTCCTTTGTGCTTCCCTTTTTTTTTTTTTAAGACAGAGTCTCGCTCTGTCGCCCAGGCTGGAGTGCAGTGGTGCGATCTTGGCTCACTGCCAGCTCTGCCTCCCGGGTTCACACCACTCTCCTGCCTTAGCCTCCCAAGTAGCTGGGACTACAGGCACCCACCACCACGCCCGGCTAATTTTTTGTATTTTTAGTAAAGAAGGGGTTTCACCGTGTTAGCCAGGATGGTCTTGATCTCCTGACCTCGTGATCCGCCCGCCTTGGCCTCCCAAAGTGCTGGGATTACAGGCGTGAGCCACCGCGCCCGGCCTGTGCTTCCCTTTTTGAAAGCATTTGTGTTGCTGTTTAAGATCAAATAAGAGAAGGGAAGGAATTTGTGTTTGAGGAACT